AAAAAAAAAAAAAAAAAAAAAAAAAGCCAAGGAACGACATTAGACTTACAATGCCAGTAAGCCAGCGGGACTTGTGAGAAATCATGTTATCTGAAAGGGAACAGCTGAGCTTCACCAAATTGCAGAAATTTTTATTCAGCTGAATCTGTTGCAAAGGAAAGCGTAAAACCATTGCTTTATGGATCGTAAGTACGTGGAGCTCATAGTAAGAGGTTTACTAAAACCTCAGAGATGGGGGAAATAAAAAGCCTTCTCAGAAGCCAACTCAAAACCAGCAATCATGGGCCATAATACAGGTGTGAAGACTCTCCTTAAATCCTGGAAGCGGGGAGACAAAAGAAAATGACTGAGTCGTTTTGTGAGTTCCAACAGATTTTAAGAAAGGATAATTCAAATCAGAAGGGGGTTTTATCAGACCAGAAAACATTGAGACAAACAAGGCAGTGCCAGTCCAAGCAAAAGCCTGGAAGTTCAAGAATTCCAGCAGCACAGCCACCCCATCCCAGCTTGTGACTTCACTGTCCCTTATCACTAGCTGCCTTGATTCTGACAGCGTCCGCCAGCCCTCAGGACTAGGACGCGGCTTCCGGGGCAGGCTGAGAGCAGGTACCTCAGTGTTTCCGATGGCCAATGGGCCCTGTGTGAGCTAACGAACCAAAGTCCTGGGCTTCTGCCAAGCCATCTGCTCACAAAGTGCTCAGGGTGCGTCCGTCACCACGATCTGATTTCTGAGCTCACGAGGCGGCGAGCCTGGACCTCATTCTTGGAAGGTTCCCCTGGGCTCGCCAGGCTGGCAGTGCTCGGCAGACAGAGTGACAGGCTTCCTGGCTTCCCTGGCAGCTGGGGGGTCGGGCACGGGGGAGCCTTCTGCTCCAGGTGTGTCTCTCTCTGGGGGGATCAGCACGTCGCCGTCCGCTAGCCACCTGCTCTGTGGCACTGTCACCTGCCGCACATCTCCAGAGGTGCTCACCGAATGTCTGCAGACCCTGCAGGACTGCAGAAAAATCCAGACAAACTTGTAGGTGACAGATTAAAGGGATGGGTGAATCATCCTACGTCAACATGAGGTGATACATGTAGCCTTGGTGTGCAGACAGGAAACAGCCACTCGACCCGAAACATTTCTTCTTGTCCCCTTTGTAGAGGGTTACCAGGCTGACAGAAGCAGGGCTGTGACTCAGCATGGCACTTCGAGCTCTTACATAACTCCTCTCAACGAAGAACAAAATGACAGAAATGGGAATAAAAACTACGCTGTGGAAATAAATAGCACAGGTCCTTGACACTGTTCACTCCTGTTTGAAAAATGCAACAAGGCAGAGCGTATTGAAAACATTGAAAATAAAAAATGGTCCCCAAATACTATCAGGAGAGGATGCCCGGGAGGAAGGCACATGTTACGGCTGGGTCTAGATGCTCCCCAAAGCCTCACGTGCTCACAGGGCTTTTTCAAGGGTGGCTGGATCTACAGCGTGCGATGCGGGGACAAAGGGCCTGTGATTGCTAAATCAGTCCACTGATCAGTTCGGCCCCACCGTAATCCCGGTAGTCTGGATGAGAAAAAAGGGGCAGAAAGACGCTGCTAAGGTCCCTTGCTGCTCTGCTACCTTTGTCCTGCCATGAACTGTTGTCCCTCTGCCACGCCAGCCTTCCTTGGAGCCGGCCATTATGGACCAAAACCTCCACCAACTTCGAGCTAAATAAACCTTTCCTCCCTTAACTTCGGGTGTCGGGTATTTTTTCTCAGCAATGAGAAAGGTAGCTAAGATGGTAAGTTGTTCCAGCCGGAACTGGAGAAGAAGCTCTGATATCTGAACCAGTGTCCTCAGAGGAGCAGATAAAGGGTGGGGTTCATCACCTCTCCCCGTACAAGGGCTAGGACCACAGCAAAGAGAGAGAGAGAGAGACGTGTAAATGAAAGCTGGAACACAAGATCGCAAGTACGCTCCAGACCTCTGGAAACGTGAGGTGTGTAGAAGGTTCAGAAGTCACAAGTTGAGAAATGGATTATCAACCAACAAATTGTATCATCTAGTTTTTTTCTTAATTACTCTAGAAAAATTGTTGGCACTGGGCTTAGATCATCATCTTAGGGCCTCACCACAACCCTAAAACACTTTGCAGCAGGATCTGCATTTTTCAGATGGCAAACTTGAGGCTAGAGAAGGTACTTGTTCAAGTTCAGGCAGAACAGGTCCCTCGCTTCCTTTGGTTTCCTGGGAGCTCTGGCCTCCTGGGGTCCCTCACTGTCTCTTAAACTCAAGCTCACTTTTCCTGTTGGGTCCGAACATTCTGAGAAGCTCAAAGACTTTATAGAAACACAATGTTTCATATTCTGATTCTAAAACTCCACCAAAGCTCCGATTTCCTTTCAGATCCTTGTATCTTTACTACTCAAATACCCTTCTGATTGTTTGAATTCTGCGGTACCCTTTCTCTCGGGCCCATTTCCAAGGGGCACTGTTCCTGGAGACACTGTGTGGTAGAAGTATGCCTGAGGGTCAGTGGTTCGCTTTCACCCCAGTGTCATCCCCATGATTCAGAAGAGCCTCGTGCCACAGGGACATCTGTAGCTCTGTGGGTGTTTTACCGCTCGCAGCAACAGTGCTTCGTGCTGCACCTTTCTCCCTGTCACTTCTTAGGTGAACTGCTTATCAGAACGCAGAAAAACTATATTTTAAATGTCACTACCATGAGCAAAAGGTAAGAGTTACCTACTCCTACTTACATCGTTAATACTTGATGGAAGGAGACATTTATTTCTAGTTTTCTTTTTAATTTCAATTTTAAGTAGGAGCCAGTGCTTCTCTGACCAGAACCAAGGTAGAAATGCTCTTGGTTTCTTACTCTCAACCAAGATTTACTTTCCCAAACTTTCTGGAGTTTTTCTAATATCTTTTCTTATTTGGCTCAATAACACTTTGGCAAAACCTTTTCTAAAATAGGCTGAATCAAATGGAATTGCTACTACGCTCTTTCTAGGAATCTTCCTAGAGGAGTTACAGTCATCATTCTACAGTGACGCATGCATACCCGTGTTTATAGCAGCACAACTCATACTAGCTAAATCTTGGCAGCAAGTACATATGTCCATCAGCAGATCAATTAATAAAGAAAATTATTTACATACGATGGAGTACTACTCTGCCATAAAGAAGGGTAGTTTTGAGCCATTTGTAGGAAAATGGGTGCACTTGAAACCACAGAGTTAAGTGAAAGAAATCAGATGCACAAGCTTAAATATCACATGGTTTTTCTTAATTGAGAAACCCAAAGCATAAAGAAATTAAAAAGCCAAATAAAAGATAGGAAACAGAGAGGTAGACCTTTTGAAAATGTGAAAGGGACCAAGAGATGGAGGGAGGAGAGAGAGGCAGGGAGATGGGCATAAAAAGATTAAGATGTGTCCTATACGTACAGCAGCTCCCCACGAGGAACGCAGTTGTTATGCACTACAAACACCTGCTAATAAAATAAAATAGTGAAATAGGCAGAGACCTTCCCATGGCCTGGGGAGGTAAAAGGTCAAGCACACAGGAACACGCACAGAAGAGGGGGGCCTGGCCCGTGTGACCTGGGACTGGGACCCTTCCCAGTAGAGGGATGGAATTTGTGTCACCTCTGTGCGGTGGGCACGGTGAACCCAGGGCAAGTGGATTCGGAGGAGCTTCGAGCACCATCGGGACTGGGGGATAAGTGAGCCGAGAACACCCCAGGGGTGACAGATCTGACTCCAACCCCTGAGACGTGAAGTCAGGGCCAGGCACCCAGGCTCAGGGGGCTGCGCACAGTCGTGCCTCCTCCTGTTTCTCCTCTCGTACCCCCAGGCTTGTGGGCAGACTGGCGTCCGCTGGTTACCCAGATCTGGCAACACCAGCACTTCAGAACCGGGCACTCTTCCTGCCAATGCTGTCATTTGTAAGGCTGGGAAATCTGTACGTGCCAAGCCACACTGACATGGCATTCAGGTGCTCTGAAAAGAGACCACAGCACTCGGGACTGGGCACATGGCCCCCAGACTCAACATCTGGCTCAGTGCTGTCACGAAGAATCTGTAGACTCAGAGAGGACAAGAGACAGCATGAATGTTGAACCTACATGACTTGAATTCAAATAAAGTGTCCCGGATAAATTAGTGGTGTTCTCTCCCCTTCAAATCTCCCTCTAGGTTCTGTATAGTCTTTTGGTGACTTCTCTCTACGCTGCCTCTCAGGCTGAAGAGTCTCTTTTCTTCCCCACTACAGAATTCTACTAGGAGGACTTCGCTTCAGGATACCACAGTGGCAGTGAGATTACTGTCTCCAGTTCCTGCCTTCTGTCTGCCACACAGTGACTGGCGGGTACTGCCCAGCGGAGGGTCAGAGTGTATTCCCTGCACCCTGCTCTGGGAACTGGTCATCACGACTTGCCCTGGAACTCAGTGGACATGGTGAAAGCAGATGGGAAATAACGCTTGTGTGGTTCTGGTTCTGGTTTACTCTCTTGGGCTTCTACTATTAGCACAAAAAGCGTGTGTCCTAAGTAGCCGTGAGTCTCAGGACGGACACTTGGAGCAGGCTTGAGCCTGATCAAAGCCAGGAAGCAAACCCCACCCAACACAGCCCAAATCGGTCCAAGCCCAGCTTCCCTACAATCTCCTGAAAAAAACAAGGACAAACACTTCTAGGTGCCAGCTACTGAGATACTCGGCAGACTCAATGAACACGAAAAAAATGGCCATATTCGCACGAAGCAAGGAAACAGTGCTAGCACAGACATTCTGTCATGAGCGGTCGCTCTCAGAGGAAACACCCTCCTTCGTGCCTAAAGTGCTGTCCTCCGACTCCTGCTCCAGCATGCTCCTCTGGAATCGGCTCATTCTTCACCTTTCTGGGTAGTTTTCAAGTGTCTTCTCCACAAAAATGACAAGTATGGGAGGGGTCGCCTACCTCTAATTTCACCTAGGCATTTTAAAACATTATATTGGACACAGTACAAGTATTCAATGTTTCTGTCAATTAAAAAATGAGTAAATACAAAGTAAACTTTAAATGATGTATATGTCACTTGAGCAGCACAAATTAAAGCAATGAGATGCCCCTTACACTTCTCAGAAATGTGAAAACAAAAGGCACTGGCAGCCTGGGACGCTAACAACGTCCGGGGCCCCAGGGGCGCTCACACATTGCCGGTGGGAACACAGAATGGTACAACTGCTTTGAAAGATGACTGGCAATTTCTTACGAAACTAAGCACACTCTTCCGGCGTGGCCCAGCGACCAGCAATCGGGCCACCTGGTGTTCACTCGAGTGAGCTAAAAGACTGTATTCCACACCAAAACACGCACGCGAATGTTAATTATGCAGCTTAATTCACAAGGGCCAGAACTTAGAAGCAAGCAGGTTGTCCTTCAGTCGGTAAATGGATAAACTGCGATGCACCCAACAACAAAATACGGTTCAGGGCTCAGACCAAAGACATATAGCAACCTTAAGTGCACACTGCTAAGCAAAACAAGGTTACACGCTATATGATTCCAACTATACGACATTCTAGAAAATTATGAAGGCAGTAAAACGTGCACTGCTGCCAGAGGAGGAGAGGGGGTAAGTGGACAAAGCACAGGGAATTATTAGGGCAGGGAAGCTCCTCTGTGTGGAAACACGGTATCATCAACTTATCAAAAAACCCGTAAAATGTGGAGCACCAGAGTGAACCTTAACAGAAACTATGGTTGTCGGGACACGATGCATCAAGGCAGGTCCGTCAGTGTCACAAACTGCACTAAATGTTCCATTCTCCAGTGGGAAGGCATGGAGGAAGAGCTGGAGGGGCAGGAGATCCTGGGAGCTCTCCACAACTTGCATTCAATTTGGCTGAGAACTGAAAACTCCTCCAAAACATAGTTTATGTGAAACACAAAACAAAACACCTACTCTGTTTCCTACCTCACCACTGGCAACACAGGAAACCTCTTTATTAAAATCTGTCTACTGGAGTTCTGTTTCCTAACTAAACAAACCTTGATTATGACAGTCTTAGAAATGCATCCCTTCCGATTGTAACACTTACAGGCTCCTCATCCTGTCAACTGCATCACTGTTTCCCAAATACTCAATGTTGCTGCCTGTTGACTTCTTTCCCCCAGATTTCTTTTCATTGGGGGTCGTCCCTTTTTTCCCTTCACTGCCCTGAATGCCGATCCAAACTCTGGACGGCTCATTTGTCCTCACCCCAGAGCATCTCACGTCTCTTCACCCACTCAGAGCAACAGCAGAGAGCGGCCGTGAGTTTCCTGGCCCTACGCGGAATTCCGCCGAGGTTCTGTGGACTCAGGCACAATGCACCCTGTCCCCAGCCCTGCTACAGACAAATCTGAAGTTTATGCCTGAGAGATACAGATAGACTTAAAGTTCGCAGCTGAAAACTGGGACTGGCGACAGGCAAGGGTGTGAACTACATGGAAGTGGCCAACAGAAACATCTGGCTGAAGATCAAACCACTGCCTTCAGAAAGAATTCTGCCAGAGGTCTTCGGCTGTTTATTGATTCACTAAACATTTGTGAAGAGCTCTCCCTGTGCCATGCACTGGGGACCTGCAGGTTAACGGACAGAGTGCTGCACTCACGGAGCTCGCGGTCTGCAGCAGAGGTACACCCAGTACCAAAGTGCGAAGAGCGAGGGAGTCTAAGGGAGTACGGAGCGGGCACCAGTACCTGCTGGGTCTATAGAAAAAGAGGAATCAAAGTCGTTCAGCTCCTCCTGGAGCAGCCAGCAAAACATCGCCGTTTTCCTAAAATACATCATGAGGGAGTAGCACCGTCTAAGTATTATCACACTACAGGCAGGCAACACAGAAAGCTAAGTAAGAACTGGGTATTGGCTTCCTGCGGTGAGAGCCACACGCGGAGCAACCTTGCGCCCCGCAATCCTGAGTTGTAGCAGAAGCGCTTATTAAATGATACCACTGAGTGACCATTCAAGCGTTACTCCTTAAGTCCCTGACCTCAATGGTGTGGCTTATCCAAGCAATCAATAAAATGCTTCTAGAAACGGAACACACCCAGTAATATCAAATGACAGCTATTAACCCCTCGGAGGGACAGTGCTTTGGACAAAATTTTGGTTATTTGGGCAAAGTAAGTAAAATTCAGTAAGAAGGACATTTTTTTAAACAAAGTAATTGATTTCTACCAACAACTTCCAAGCCCCACAACCTGCTAGGCCCAAGGACAGCAGCAAAGATGGTCAAGGCAGAATCTGTATCTGCAAGAAGAGAATGTTCTTGCAAGGATAAGAGGTGTGCCAAAACGACCAGTAGAGGGGAGGTGTCCAAGGAGCACAAGGTAGACCAGGACTCTCCAGCAGGCAGGAGGAAGGCAGGCGCATTGTTTTAGTAAGAGCCAGTAAACAGTCGTGAGCCCTAAGGATCTGAGGCCATTGTTCATTCTGCTTCTGTAGCCACCAATCTACCTTAGATGAGACATAAAGGAGCGAGTGTGTGCTTATAAAATAAGTCCCCTGTAGAATTTGGCCTCTGGGGCTTTGACTGGGGCAGAGCTGGGGCAGATGATCGGGGACAGAGGGCAGCAGGTGACTCTGCCTGCCTGGGCTGCTGCGTAAGTCTCTCTTGGGGATGGAGGGAAGGGTGGAGGTTCAGGGTCTGAAAGAACTGAGCTCGTTCGTGGAAGGAAGAGGTGTGCAGTGTCAAGCAGGCTGGAGATGTGTGACGATCCTGGCTGTCTACATCAAAAGTCATGGCCCTGACAATTTAATTTTTACAGTTTTAGAGAATTTGTGAAGGGACCTGAATGCCGCACCGAGTATAATGTTTGTCAGAAGGCCATGGGAATCAGCAGAGAAGGGCCTACAAGGTGGGGACGTGGGATGACCGGTCTCTCCAGCTGGGGAATCAGCACGACAGGGAGAGGGTCCTGGGTCAGAGCAGCGGCCTTGGGGACACGAGCCAATGAGAGAGAGAGAGACAGCTCTGAACCGATTCTGAAGATTTAATGACCTTTTCCATGTTTGGGGGTAAATGAGAGGACACAATCACAGTTGACTCCGGATCTGAAGATAGTTGTATTAGTTAGGGGACCGTCCTTGGAATGAAATATCTGACATAACCAGCTTCTTAAGAGAAAAGGTTTGCTGCATTTTCCAACACAGTTTTGGAGAGTTCAGTCCATGGTTACTCTGGCTCTTTTGCTCTGGGCCTGTGGCCCCCAAAGTCATGGCTAGGGGGCAAAAGAGAAGAGGAAGAGGAAGGTGTGGGCTCCCCACTCCCATGGGAGGCCACACTCCAGTGACCTACAGATCCCCTACTAAGCCCACCTCTTCAAGTTCCACCACCTCCCAACAGCTCTACCTAAGTGACACATCCTTCAGGGGACATTCTAGGTCTAAACTACAATAACAGTGTTGACTCAAGAATCTGTATGTCTATCAGCAGAAGAATGGATTGAGAAGATGTGGTATATATATACTGGGAGTACTATGCAGCCACAAAGAAGGACAGATTTGAGTCATTTGTAGGACAGTAGGTAGAACTTGAGGCCATACTATCAAGTAAAATAAACCAGTCACAGAAGATTAAATATCACAAGATTTCCCTTCTATGAAAGACCCAAAGTATAAATAATTTGAAGAGAAAAATAAAAGAGATGTGTTAAAAAAAAACAAAGAGATAGACTCTGAATAGATGCGAAGGGGATCCAGGAAAAGAGGGAGAGAGAAGGGCAGGCAGGGAACAAAAATGATCAAGATGTGATATATATGTCAAATCCCCAAGCTAAACGTAGTCACTACCTATCACAAACATATACTAATATATTTTTTTAGAACATGGATGGGACATTTTGATAGATAAGATGTTAAGTTCAGCTTTGAATATGTGGGTCTGGGGCTCTCTTGGAACAACCAAATAAAATATTCATCCAGAACTGCCAGAAGTAGGGACATGGAACTTGAAAACAATTCTGGCTAGAGCTCTTTGCCTAGAGATTA